AATAGTATGAGAATTTCATGTTTGCCTTAATTTATTCCCTTTACGAATTTTTCGTATTGAGTTATGAGACCCTGTATAAAGTAGTAGCTTTTAAATAGCAACTGAAACTTGAGACATTCATCCTTTATATTGTTCTATATCTGTACTCGTTTTTTTTAGATTCTGTTCCGGTCATGTATGTTTTCTCAGAAATGAATTATATGATGTAAATAGATAAAAATTTTTCTTTATTATTTAAAAAATAAGATTGCACGTAGAAATACAATAATGCTTCTCATTTCTGACTAAAGCATTTCTGCCTCAGGTGCATTGTAATTAAATTATTTGCATTAAGATTGTTAGTTTTACGAAAACTGAAAATCTTTGCGAAGAATTAACAATTTAATTATTTCAAATATACAATAATTCACATAGTGAATGCATTTATGCACTATTACAATTACAATATATGTTTCTTCATGATATATATATATATATATTGATTTTTTTTAATCTAATTTTTTTTAAACAATTATAATGAAAAAATAAGTGAAGGTATAAAATTATGTAAAATATTTATAATTATAATTGTAACATTGTTTGGCAAAAAAGACGCCGGAACGAGATTAATCATTTTCTGTAGTTTCTTGGCTGAAGAAGAATTTGATACTCAAATTGCTCCATCATGTCGCAATTTTAAAAAATCTGCAGTTAAAGTTGTAAAAAGGAACTAGTTTTTGTCACATTATTGCTATTATAATATGATTTACTTAGTAAATTTTATTGCAATAAAAGATATGTTGTTAGGATTTTCAACCCTCAAAAGGAATTTTGTCGATTATGATTAATAAAATATGTATAGATTAATAGATAATTAAATAGAATTAGAATAGATATAATAAGATAAAGTTATAGATTAAATATTAGAGCAAAGAAGAGTTTTATTGATAAAAATAATTCATCGCTTTCTTAAAGTTCCTCCAAAATCCTTAAGAAATAAGGCTGTCTTTTAACGTCAATAACTATCGGCTAGCAGCTAAGGGCGAAGCAACACGTCTTGATTTGGTCTTTAGGCTCGTCTACATTAGCTGTAAGAGTAAGGCTGTAAGGTTGCAAGACACGAAATGAAATATTTTTATTCGCTGACAGCTTACGTTACAGCCTTACAGCCTTACTCTTACAGCTATTGTAGACGAGCCTTATGTCTCCATTCTGTGGAGACTCTATGGAACTCTATAAAAATTGTTTTGGGACAGCCTATATAATTTTATAGTTACATAAAGTTATATAGCGTTCTAAGAAGCAGCAAATAAATTACGTTAAATATATAGTGAAGCATGCATATAATATTCAGTAGTAGTTAATTCTTTCTAATAAAATTTACATAGCTCAGGACAAAATTTGAAATTTAAATATTCTCCCGCTTTTTTGCGGTTTTAAAGTATTGACATTTAACTTTTCGAAATGATATATGAAATGACATATTTTTCGAAAGTAACCTTTCTAAATGACATATTCGATATGCAGCGCACTTCGCATTTCATTTAAGCAAAAACGGTCTTAAAGTAGCTAAAACGATTTGTGCTGCTTATCTTGCTCATGTTATAGTGCTTATACAGGGTGTCCCATTTTTAAAATTCCACTAAAATATCTCTTTAGAAATGTATTTAAGAAAAAAATGTTTTGAACAAAAGTTGCTTAGTTTGAAAGGAGACATAAGATTTGAAGTATACAATCAAATTTTTTTAGGTACAGAAGTTGCAATATTTTCGAAATATAAGGGCGGATGTCTAAAATATCCAAAATTTAGATGTACATCGGCGGTAGTAATATCTCTTCGCAGCATTATCTAAAACAAAAAAGTTAAAGAGGTTTTCAAAAATAATACTCACAGTTTGTCGATGAAGCTAAAATATTTTTAAAAAGTCGAAAATTAACAAAATGACAGACTAAGAAAGAAAAAAATTTTATCCTAAAAATTTTTATCCTAAAAATTTGTTCGTTTTTATTTAAAAAATATTATTTAAACAAATTTTTTTTTGGATTGGGTAAGTTCACCGATAAATGATATATGTTAGCTGTTTGTATGTACAAAAGCAAGTTGATTGGTTGAATAGTTTTAGAATAATGACGACCGCCAATTCCGAAAACGTGATGTCGAGAAAAACGCAATAATAGTTTTCGATATGGAAAAATGTTAGAAAAAATTGAGTTTTTGAAATTCGATTTCAATTTTTTATTAATCTGCTATTCTAGGGCTATATAACAAGCCTTCAGCTTTTTCATACATCTCGTTTTGTTCGATTAATTGCTGTTTTCGAGTTAATCGAGCATCTTTAGTACTGCTTAGGCTGCGACGTTCTTGTCGTTTCGTGCGGCCAGCGTCGATGCTATCAACGAACGTTTTGCATGTCGGTCTAATTTTAATATTAAATTTTATATCAGGGTTTCCATAATTTTCAAAACTGCATAGTAGCCTTCATTGAAGATGCTTGCAGTAATAAAAGCGGTAATCTCAACTATTTAACTATTTTTATAGTTATTCCTTTGAGCAGGTATAAGATTACTTACCCAAACGCTTCAGAAATATCTGCTGTTTATTATCATTGAGTCCGCTAAGCAAAGGATAATAAATAAGCCAAAATAAATTAGCCAGGAGTGAAAGTTCTGTTCCGAAAATACAGTTCTGTGCACAACTCTATTTTCAACCCATATTCTAAATAATAAAGAATATTTTTTATCGCACTATACTATTCATTTCCTATAAAATACAGAAATGACTAAAATGAAGTATAAAGACGAGTACAAATATAATATAATACAAGCGTTAATATACTAGGTACGCAACTAAGTTTCCGGGTTTCTTTGATCAATGAAAAATGGAAAATTTCAAGAGAAATACAAAAAAATGGTTTATTCAAAGTATTGACCCTCGCTAGCTACACATTTTTGCCATCTCTCTGGCAATACATGAATACCGCGACGATAAAACGACGCGTCTTTGGACCTAAACCGTTCATCCAACCAATTTTACACTTCTTCGAAATTGGCCAAGTGTTGCCCAACCAAGCCATGCGCCATCGACCGGAACAAGTGATAATCGGAAGGGGCCAGGTCTGGCGAATACGGCGGGTGCGGTAGCAGATCCCATTTCAGCGGTTTGATGGTGTCCTGGACGATGGAAGTGCGATGGCACGGAGCGTTGTTGTGCTGCAATATCACTCGTTCGTGTCTCGTGTCTCATTCTGGCCGTTTTTCGAGCAATATATGGTTCAAATTGATCAGTTGTCGGTAGCGATGCCCATTGACAGTTTCACCCGGTTTCAGCAGCTCATAGTACACGATTCCTTTCTGGTCCCATCAAACGCAGAGCATTGTCTTCTTTCCGAAGCGATTTGGCCGTGCCGTCGATGTTAATGCTTCGCCAGGTGAAAGCCACGATTTTTTGCGTTTGGGATTCTCGAAATATATCCACTTCTCATCGCCAGTAACAATTCGATGCAGGAAACTCTTTCTTTCATGCCGCAAAGGCAAAATTTCGGAAGTGGCTCTTCGATTTTCCATCTGTCTCTCAGTCAACTCATGCGTCACCCATTTTCCTTCCTTTTGAATTTTTCCCATGACATGTAAACGTTTGGAAATACCTTGGCGAGTCATGTTTAATGCCTCCGCAAGTTGATCTTGTGTTTGCGTATCATCTTCATCCGATAACGCTTGCAGATCGGCGTCCTCAATTGTTTTTGGTCTTCCGGAGCACTCCTTGTCCTCAGTGTCGAAATCGCCACTGAAGTGTTTAAACCAATCTTCACAGGTAGTTTTCGATGGTGCATGTTCGCCGTAGGCCTCTTCAAGCAAACGACGTGCTTCAGCTGCACTTTTTTCAAGTTAAAGTAGAAAAGCAAAGCTTCCCGCAAATGCTGTTTATTTGGTACGAAACTCGACATCTTCGTTGTTAGAAAAAATATTTTTGCGTTGCGATATATGTTGGTATTACTACTGGTTATTGTTAACAGATGTCCAAGCTATAAAAAAAAACAACTTCAGACATGTATGTCGACTACATGTGTCGTTAGCGCTATCCATGTGTGAAACCCGGAAACTTAGTTGCGCACCTAGTAAGCCAGTTAAATAAGCCAGTTTAAATAATTATTTAAAAGTTACTACTCAATTTAATTAAATAATCTACGGAACGATAGACTGTATATTTCTACATTTCTGTTGCCAACCCTGTATAAAATGTCAAATTGAAACGTATTAAAAAGTATTGATATTTTGAATACGTCTGAATTTTGCTTTCTGATCCGAAGAAAGGGATCGAAAAATATTAGTTCCCATTAAACTTCACCGCGTTAAATGCGAGACGGCAGTGGTGAATGCTTCGCATTAAAAAGGATTCAATTCATTTCAAATATGCCTCGCATTCAATCTCAATCGATAATTTTCAAATGCGAACTTTCGCATTGAAAAGTACTCACTTCTTCTCCTAATTGTTTTCGGATTCAAAGGTATACAAGATTTTCATGTTCTATTGCCCGTCGTATTGAAAAGTATTGGCCCGCGATCCAAATCCGAGATTTCCGCAAAGCAGAATTCACGACGAAATCTCGATGCGAGATAATGCGAAATAATACGAAATAATACTTTTAATGCGAAATAATACTTTTAAATACGATATTTTATACAGGGAAAATTTGTTGTCAGAGTGTTAGTAAGCTGTGCGCGCTTTCTGACGCTAATATGTTAACAAAGTCTGTCCACAGACTTTGTCGACAAAATGCGAACATACGACTACAGATCTATCGACGAGAAATTATCGCCCATCTATTGATAGATAAAAAATTTCTTATTCGGTATATAATTAACACGTAGTCTACACGTAGTTTACACTTTTAGTTTAGACAACATTTTTGCACATAGAGTGTGGTACAGAAATTATTTAGCGTAATTTATATTTTGATTTTCTATATATATATACATTTATATACAATTTATATATGAATTGCATGAGTAATTTTGCAAAGGAAAAGGTATACGAGGAGTTGATGGAAATTTATGGTACGCAAAATCCGAAAACCGCCCCTGCTAAGTTCGAAGATTTGCAGTATATGAATTATTTGGAATGTGTTATTAAGGAGACATTGAGACTTTTTCCCGTAGTACCTATCATAGGACGACACCTTAATGAGAATTTACAAATAGGTTTGCTTATATGTATATGTGCTGTTGTAGTAAAATAATATGTGACTATTACTTACATTGTACACTCAAACGCAAAAAACCCGGTACACTAAAAATTTGGGAAAAAATTACAAAATTTCAAATGATCATAACTTGGTAAATAATGAAGATACAAATATGTGCAGAAATGCAAAATGAAGCTTGAAACGTCCTCTTTAAGAATATCTGAATGACAATTATGCTCGGCCATTTTTTTTCAAAATGGCGGATGATAAAGTGAGAGGATGCAAAATTGATAATCAAAGGTCCGTGTTTGCGATGGTGCATGGTGTGCATCAGGTATCGCAGCGTAATGGGACCAAATGCACATGAAAGTATAGAGTGTTATCTTTAAAATCCTACTTTACCGAGCTCGATGTGATCATTTTTCACTGAGTTGTTCCAAATTTTGCTAAAAATGCGGTTTTCTTGTTAAATTTGCATAATTCAGTGAATAAGTACCGCATCAAGCTCTATAACGAAGTATTTTAAAGAAAACATTCTATACTTTTAGGTACTTTTCGTCCCATTGAGCTGCAACACTTACTTTGCTCCATGCGCCGTCGCACGCTCGAACCTTTTTTTAGCAACTTTTCATGTTCTCCTTTTTATCATCCGCCATTTTGAAAAAATATCGTTGCTCACAATTTCGATAGATCTTTCGAAAAGTACGGTTTCAAAGCTTTCAAACCGTTTTTGAAATTTGCTGCTAGGATATTTAGGCGTCGAGATATTCAATTTCGAATTTGCAACAAATGTCGATTCAGCGAGGCTTAAGGGGCTAAGAGGCTCTGCGGTTCGTTTGGCTCTTTCATAATTTCAATAGCCGCGTTCATTATTCTCTATACAATAATTTACATAATTTTGCGAATTGAAATTTAATTTTTATCAAAGTTATATTCTTTACCTTCAGTTACCATGATCACTGTTATACACTTTAGTTCGCGAAGCTGTCCTAGCTCTCCTTCTCCGTAGATTGCATTATGTACAGTTGAATATGCTGTTAGATGCTGATGCGGTCGCCTGATTGCGTAGTCATCGTCATTGGCTTTTTTTTATCAATATTTACATAATTTAATTAATTTTTTTTATCAAATTATCATTTTTACCCTTCAGTTACGCATGATCACTGTGGTATACACTTTAGTTCGCGAAGCTGTCCCTAGCTCTCTACCTTCTCCGTACGATTGGCCATTATGGTACACAGCTTGAATATGCTGTTCAGGATCGCGCCTGAGTTCGCGGTGACCCGGCGCGCGGGATGCCGAGTCGCTGGACGCCACCTGAACGTCGAAATTCCCTGGCGCTCCTAGTCCACGGAGCCGCCGCGACGCGGCGATCTGGGTTATCGCGCGCGCGAGCCCCTCGGCTCGCACGCGAGTTCGAGCTGTCCAGGGCATATAAGAGTGCGGAGACGATCAGAGATTACCTTCGTACAGCTTTTGGCCTTCGTACGGTCCACCGCCGATAGTGGCACTATCTCTTGTACGCTGGACTTCGCGAGTTTGTCAGTACGCCGGGCTTACGTTCTGGCTGCTCAAGTTATTGAGCAGAACCAGAATAACCGAGCATAATTGTCATTCAGATATTCTTAAAGAGGACGTTTCAAGCTTCATTTTGCATTTCTGCGCATATTTGTATCTTCATTATTTACCAAGTTATGATCATTTGAAATTTTGTAATTTTTTCCCAAATTTTTAGTGTACCGGGTTTTTTGCGGTTGAGTGTATATAATTATTTGTGTTTGTGTGTTACATTTTTCGGAGATATTTATTATACCACACAATAAAACATGAATTTGCTTAAGTTATGTATTAAAAATTTATTATTATGACATTTATTTACAGAAAAATATGTTTTAGGAGGATATATTTTGCCAGAAGGCGCTGATGTTTTCATAGGAATAATACATATGCATCGAAATGAAAAATATTGGCCAAATGCGTTAACGTTTAATCCAGATAGATTTCTTCCGGAGAATATAAAGAATATTCATCCTTATTGTTACATACCTTTTAGTAACGGTCCACGGAACTGTATAGGTAGATAAATAACTTGAAACTTACTATAGCGGAATATACTTTTAATGGATAAAATTACAGGTTCAAAATATGGTATGATGTCTATAAAAGTCCTCATTTCAACTTTGTTGCGTACATTCATATTAAAGGTGGACAGAAAGATGGAAATAAGTGAAATAGAGTTGAAAATAGAACTTTCGTTAACATCCCGAAAGCCTTTAAAATTGAGAATTGAAAAGAGAGGTTGACGACGCAACAACACGAAAACATGCATGCAGGGAAACGAGGGACTAGAGGTTTTCTTATTAATAAAGTTATGTAATAATATGTTGTTTTTGTTTTCTTAACTCGGCTGAAATGAATGTGTAATATAATAAAATGAATATGAAAGCAATCAAATTAAAACATGGAGCGCAAAGTAATGTAAGTGTAATCAATTACACCTGAAATTTCCCTTCAATGTGGCGAATAACGCGACGTTTTAATATAAAATATGTTGAAATGTATTGTTTCAATCATATATTGTTTATTCATGTTATTTGACATAGTATATTATATTTTGCATACAGTTCAGCCTATCTAATAAAAGCGTAGTTGGTACAATCCTCAGTTGGTAGAAGCTATATTTCGGAATTTTGCACGAGTTGATAAGGAATACCTGTTTCTTTAATATTTTGAGAAGAAAAACTTGGATGATAGAGCAAGATGGGTACGAAGTAGTACGGAATTGAAATAGAGTAATTGTGATGGAGTATTTTTCATCGTTTCTCTCTTGTTCGATAATTACAGTTATTATTCGTCGTTTCGCATTTATTCACAAATAATAGTTATAGAACATTTAGACTTTATAAGCAGCTGACTTCGATTTCTGACAGACCGCTCTGGATCTGCTCGTGGATAGAACAGCGAAGAAGGAAGACCCTGGTTTCTCAACGAATTTGAGTCTTTTTAATAATTATGCAGAGATAGGAACCACCTCCCCATTTCAATGATATTGAGATATGTTATCAAGGTCATTATCCTGAAGGTTTTAGCGCTCATTATTTATAAGAAAGTTATTAAAAAAAGAAGTATAATAATTTGGTAATGCCGTGTATAAATATTATGCTTGTATAGTGTTAGCTGAATCAAGGTTCATTTCTGTTTACCTTCTTTCTATATTTCTATTTGTCTTGTTCTATGTTGTTAATAACTCTTGGAATTTTAAATAGGTACTCTAGAAAAAATAAATCAATATAGAATAGTTTATCGTATAATTAACATTTGATTACTGATTGATTTTGAAGAACGATTAAACGCTTTCTTCGGAATAATGGCTACTATATATAAATAAATCATAAGTAAAAATGTATGTAAATAAAACATAAAATTAATAGAAATATATGCAGTATTTTATGAAAGTGTCACTTGTTCTCTTTTAATATCTTATGTATTATTATATACATTATATCATATGTATTATTATATACAGTATATCATTTATATTATATATATTAAAATATAATAAACGGTATATGTACTATATGATAATATATGATAGTATATGTAGTATATGATTGGGGCAAGGGCTACACTCTTCCCCCTGTACCTCTTCTTTACTCTAAAACTAAACTAATCTAACCCAACTTCTTCTTTTAGCGATTGCATTATATTAATATACACTTACGTCAACAGATAGGTTATACATATTTGGGGAATGCTGTAGCGTATGTGTGAAGCTCATACATTACTAGTAGAAAGATTGGTATTCGTGACATCCGTAAACATAATAGTTTCTGTCCTGGGCAAAGTATGCGAGTTGTCATATCTCGAAAAATATATGATTGGCTATCGAACTAAGGGTGCTAACATTTCCGAAACAGCGGATATTTTAAGTGTTTTAATTTTAAGCGTTTACGTGCTACAATAGTGAAAATATATCGAGATTGGACGAACGGAACAGTTACAACGATTCGATATGCTAACTGTAGAACTCCACTTGTCATTCGTGTCAGAGGTGAGCATCAGCTTTGATGGTTAAGCAGAAACAACCGGCGCGCTACTGTTGATGAATTGAGCATGCAAATCAATCGTAGTACCCTAAAAAAAGTATCCACTATGACAGTGCAGCGAATCCTATTACGCATTGGATTTCGAAGCAGACGCTTAGTTCAAGCACTTATACCGACGACAGTTTACAACAAAAACGGCTACAATTTGCACAGCAATACCGTGAATGGACCTTGGCTAAGTGACAACAGGTAGCCTTTTCGGATGAATCACGATTTCTACTTCATTGAGTAGACAGAAGATGACGAATCAAACATGAAACATCAGAAAATAGGCATTAAGTTGCCTATTGTTGCCTATTGTTGACAGAAGATAAACTGGTGGAGATAGCGTTATGGTGTGGGGAATATGTTCGTGTTACGAATTAGGTTTGCTGCTATTTGTGAAAGGCGCTGAACTAAATACGTATCTATTTATTCTTAACGAATAAGTATATCCATATATTGTGATTACATCCATGATGATGATGGTATCTTTCAACAAAACTATACGCCATGTCATACCACCAGAATTGACCGAAAATAGTTTGAAGAGCACAAGGAAGATTTTGAGGAACTCCCTTAGCTGCCTAATTTCCCGGATCTCAATCTAATTAATTAAGAATTTATGGAACAACCTCAATCGACGATCAGGCGATTGGATCCATCACCATTGAATCTCCAGAAGCTGCGGGATGCATTGCTCTCTATATATCAGTCAGAAATACTCGCAGATACTTTTCGTAACATTATCGAATCTTAGAATGCATCATTCACAGAAAAATATCCTGAACGAAAACGAGCAAACCAACGTTGACACCGTCGTGCTGTTAAAAATTCCTCACCATACACAACACATAACAGTAGAATAGCTAAACCGGTTCTAATTCAATTTCCAAAATATTTTTGCAAAACAGCTTTTTTTTAATTAAATAGTTCTCGTTAATACCTCTCCCCCTCCCAAGAATTTTTTGCTTCCATGGACTAGATGGTGCCGTGACGTCACGAGAGAAAAACTGTCGGGATGCTGGCTAGCTAGACTCGAACCCGGGACCTCGCGATTACTATCCAATGCTCCAAAGCTCCTAGACCACCGTCGCCTGTTGCTATTAGACGTCTAGTGAAGGTTCTTACAGTATGCATCGTGACGTCACGTATACGTTAAAGAAAAGATAAGTCAGATTCAAACTAGGTCAGATTCAAATCCCAGGCCCTTCGTTTACTGCGCCATATCGAACGTCTCTCGAACGTCTATCGAACATCTCTCCAACGTCTCGAACGTCTAATAAGCAACACCACAAATAAAGAACTGTATTTTTATCAACATAATTAACATATAAGTCTCACGAACGTCTAGTAAGCATCATATCGTAAATAAAGAACTGTATTTTTATTAACATAATTAACATATAAAATCCTAAGAAAGGGAATAAGGGAAAGTTGGAAGAAAGGATGTGGTCTAAAGTAAAAAAAATGTATCGTAATATATAACAAAGTAATTTATTTCTCAGAATACCAAACATGCCACAGCTTCGCACATGATACCTTTCGAAGCACATGCCAGCAGCTCGCAATCAATAAGTGACTCACCGTCAAAACCAACGCTTTCACGTATCGCTTTTACCGCATAGCACATTTCGGTAATTTTTTTTCTCGAAAAACTTTTACAAAAGTTTGAATCATACTTTCTCATGTATTATTCTTTTATCGTACATACTTTCTTATGTTAGTTGAGTTTGCGCACTATGTCGGTTAGCGGGCTGTATTCAACTACACGATCACAGGATGAGACAGTACGCGGTAGTATTCGCCGGTATATTCTCCTTACACTCAAATTCTATCCGCACATCCACAGTGGTGCTTTTGACGAACTCATATTGACGCGAACAATCGATCACCACGAAAGGTGCCGGAGAAAGCCTAGCCGGAGAAAGTCGGTAGTTGTTAATCATACCTCAGCATTGTTGCATCCATAATACGATTTACGAAAACGTCTATACATATCGTAAAGTACGGGGTATTTATTTTTTGTAAAGTCCAAATTCATGTCGTCGTACGGATAACACTCTGAATTCAGATAAAGCTTCACGTTGATCAATTTGTAGTCATCGAAACAAGTTATATTTTCTGACATGACATTCTTCCGGCCAGTCTGCAACGCAAAGATAACGTATCGAGGTTTTTCTAAATTAGTAGCAGTTTTAACGGTCCACTGGTGTTTGGTCATGCTTTGCAGTAGAGGAAATTCATACAGATCCCACGAGCGGAAACTCATACTCAAGTATCGCCCGTTCTCCAAAGTTTTCAGCATGGAAAGTTTATTGATATCGTTCAAGATTACGTGAGACATTCGCCATAATATCTTGAACAGCTCAATCTTAAGATCCAGCGCTGGGGATCCTAGTAGACTGTTGTTGTCGCTGCGCGATCATAATAGAATCAATTCGTGACGCGCGTTAATCACTATACGCTTGTAGTCTTCACAGAATCCTAGCAACACGCTGAGTGGTACGCAAAAGTTGAAGTACGAAATAGTGTCAGTCTTATCCCACGCGGCATTTTTCATGACAGCATTTTCGTCTGAAGATATCGATACATAGTTTTTGAGCGTTGAAGTTATTCCCACGTTTCTGTTACGATCAATCTTCACACCATCCAGTTCATAACGGATCTTATCAAACATGAATGCAATGCAATTATATCCCAACGTTACAATCGCACCATCGACTGCAACTTGTTTCGTCATCTTCCCCTCGACATAGAGATAACTCTCGCGTGGCTATATGTATAAATCCTGCTGCTGTATGGGTATTCATATCTCGTCGCTATATCCAAACGTTGTGTTAGCGTATGGATTGTACGTGTATGTCTCAATCTTGACGATGCGATCGTCAAAGACCGGTTCACTTCCAATGTTCAAAATGTCAATCATCTTTCTCAATCGTTTCGTACGATGAATCCCAGAGATTTCAAAAATTCAACGTTAAATGCGCTGAGTTTCTTTCGAACGAGGGATTTTGTACTGTTAATCGTGCGTCTCGTAAAAAATATATTTCCCGCTTGTTTCTCCTGTTCCACTTGATTCACCACAAGCATTTCATAGATTACGTTTATTATCGTCGCCGTCGTACATATAATCTAATAGTAATCTCTTCTCCACGAAAATCGAGCGATTGTCCTTCTTGATCGACGACACGCACCGTTAAATCTGTAATGCTCCGTGCGATGATTGGAAGGTAAATAACATGCGCCGGCGTTTCCGATATCTTGTATCTTAGTGGCACCTTAAGCGAGAATTCATGTATCGTATATACACGCATACTGTTACTGTACGCACTACTGACAACGCTGCATTCTATACGAATGATATTCACGTTGATAAT